TACACCTAAACCAGAAAAAAAGTGCTAGAAGGGGGGAAGAGAGGGAATGGTAAAGGAGGTTGGATGGAGGAGGGCGACAGAGAGAGAGAGTGTGTGTTTAATGAGGCCCCAGTCTAAGACAAAATGCTGTGATTGACAGAAGCAGTGATCTGTTGGGGAAATAATGTCAGAGGCATGTTACACATTAGGAAGAAAACTATGGAGGAGAGGACGAAGAGAGAGAGTGAGATAGAAAAGAAGGAGAGAATGTGCACACCAGTCTGGGTCTGGTACAGCAGTCTGCCTCAGGGAGAAAACACACACACACACACACGCAGACAGGAACACGTGACTAAAACACTTCTGGCATAAATATGTTTGGGCAGATGCTCAGATATGTTCAAACATACAACATTATGTATTTCTTTCACACGTTCGGGTCACTTCCTTCGTGATCAGACAATTAAGCAAGTGCGGATTCAGGTGCTTGAATCCTTATTTGAACACACACCTTCAGACAAGATCCAAAAGGGAGTTCAATAGTGCTTGTCTGTGATTGCTAAGTGGTTAAAACGGGCTAGCTTCAAGTCTCTATGATATTTTGGGCTCCTCCAAGTGTAACTCTGTGGGGTTTGTGTACGCCTGGTTTATTGCCTGCCAAGTGTAGAGTTTAAATCTGAACGCTTTGAAAAGAAATAGCTCAGCACAAATGGTGTAGACGAGTTACTCACCAAAGTTCAATACTTGGTGTTATGGGTTTTGAAAAACGTCTCTGTCAAATAAGATTCAAGTGCACCCAAGAACCAATCAGATGCAATCAGGCCTGTCAGCCAATCAGAAGCCAGAGCTTGTGCATTTTGGAAATGTGATCTGTATTGACCTGTGTACCGTCTCAGCTTCTGGACCTGAAATCAGCAGAATGTACTCGTGTAAGTGTGTGTGTGTGTGTGCTCTGTATTGTCTGGCTGGCAGGGGTCTGATCAGCTAAAGTTGCTTCGTGATCAATACTCAGCAGAGTCACACAGCTGTGCCCTAACCATTAACGCCTGAGCAGCAATTAGTGTCCACACTGACCGCTCGCACACACACACACACACTCCCATCTGCCATTGTATTTCTTTACCTCTCTTTACATCCCCTCATCTGTCTTGGGACGACAGGAAGAAAAGCAGTTGCAGGTTTTCCCCCTCTTTTGTCTTACCACAACAACATTCGACAACAAAACAAACACAATAAGATCATTTAAGGCGCTGCCAAATATTTGAAAAACTCCAGAAATTATTGAATTCTTGTGTTTGTGTGATATTAAAGCTCGCCGATATATCTGATAGAATTTAGATCTCCTAGACAGCACTGAGGTTAAATGAAGAGCAAAACGATCAGTTATGAGATGCGCATTATTTTTATACACAGTAAAAAGTGTTTTTTTTTTTTTAATTCAGTGTGTTACTTGCAAGTTGTATTTTCTTTCTAGCAGTTTCCTAGTAAAAATGCTTTCAAAGTAAACCCTTCACCATCCTATTTTAATGTCAACAATGGTCATGGTTTATATTTCTACAGTGACAATTAAGAGATCAAATTGATACTTAAACTACATCTGAGCTAAGAAAGAGCTGTGGAAATGTTTAAATGGATCTGCAGTTGACCTCCCAGTGCTTTTACTCATGTAAAACACGCTGAATTTGACAGATCAAGATGATGGCGGCTCGGAAAGAGTAACCTCACCGGCAATTATGACGGGGGTTTATGGGACAGAAGCATCGCCCCCTGCATTTATTTGTTTTTGCGTCTTTTGTGCTGAATGAAGTGGGATTAGCGTGAAGGAGAGGACGGGAGGGGGACTTGTCCTTTGAATGAGGGCAGGAAAACGATCCAATGATGGTTTGGGTTAAGATAAGAGCTAAGGGCTGTTATTGAGCTGATGTGCTTGAAACGTACCCCTTTTTTCCTCTCAATTACCTCAGTCTGTGAAGCCAAAGTCCTTTCAAACGACAAGCCCCCCGTCTTCTCTCTCTCTCTCTCTCTCGTCCGCCACCATCATAAGCATTCGGCCCCTCTGGTCAGAAAGAGAAAAGGCGGTGAAGGACAGGTTGTATTAATTACTCCGCGCCGGCCGGCCAGATCATTTTATCACAGATTTGTCGACAAGTTGCAGTGGAAGCTAGAAGTCGAACGCCTCCGGTGAAGAACAAAAGCGAGGGAAGAAGGTCTCTGATGTGAAATTAAACACGTCTGCTTTGCTTTTTTTTCTCTCTGACAAACCAAATTCGTGTCTCGTGTAATTGATAACTGCCTCGGCCAATTATTTTGCGCGTTACAATACACAGAGGCCCCCTTTCGCTGCTACAGCTCTTCCATAATTAGCTATGCTAATATCCCTTTATTGGCCTTAATATTGCTCAACATCTCCGTGGCATCCATAGGCCACCAGAGTCCTGTGTCCTGTCACAAATGCTGATTATTGAGAAGGATAGCTTTAATCAAACATAATTGCAGTTCATTTTTTTTTTTCCTTGGATCCTTGCTCTCCGTTGCCAGCATCTAATGCCGCCTTCTCCTTGATATTCCATTAAATGACTATTTAACTGCCGCCTTTATTTCCGACGGTCGCGAACATCACCGCAAAGTTCTGGAGCCGTTTAGAGAGAGCAAAAGGGAGAGAGAACCGTGTGGCCGTAATTGCTTGCCTTTTCACAAAGGACTAATTTACTCAATCCCCATGCAGAAGTGAAACGGCTCTAATTCAGACGAAATTACGCCGCTGTTGTGGACAGCAGCTGAATATCATTGTGTTCAGAAAGCGGTGGAAATTCACTTAATCAAACTCGGAGGTAAACAGACCCCCGAGCGAACACGCGCGGCTACTGAACGGGGTCTTAATGAGGGAGTGTGTTTTCACGCATTAGCCTGTTGGTGATAATACCCTGCCATTTCATCTATAATTCATTTAATGATTTTCTTTGACATTAATTGTAAATGTGTTTGGTTATAGAAGTGGATTAGAATAACCTCTAACCCTAGTGTTCAACTTTGGCAATACGTCCCGAGCTGAGCTGTGACTTGAAATTTCAAAACTAGATGTGTGTGAAAAAACTTAATATTTACATTGAGGTGGGAGTCAAGTTATATAAAATGAGAGAATGACTCAAACCTGCAGTTCACAGATTTTCTTTTATAAACATTCCCACAATAATTAATCACTTGAAAACAAAAAAAAAAACAAATTGAGTGAGATGAGACGTGCGCTTAAAAATAGTCTGAAGCACTTGCTCTAATTTACTGTAAAATACTTGTTTTCTATTTTTTTCTAATACATTCCTATTTTTTTTCCCTCAGCCCCAACCTTATAAGTGTACTTAAAATGCCTTCCAGGTGTTATAAGTTTTCATGTTTTTGCGGCATCTATTGAAATTGATGCGGTCCATCTCACTTTCAAACCTCTGAATGGGTGCTTTGCAATAATCTTTGAGTTAGCACAAGTGTGTCCACCTGTGTATAGCCATTTGTTCGCGCCTATAGAGTAGGAAAAACACAAGTGAGAGAGAGAGAGAGAGATAGCGAATGAGAGGGGTAAATAAAGTCTATATTTCAGGCTTGATTTACTCCGATACCTGCTGTGAAACATTACAGCTCTATAGGGAAATAAAGACAGGGGCGGCGAATTACAGCTCGTAATACTCATTCTGATAACGGCCTGTCCAACAACTACCATACACACACACACACACCGTACACAATTAAAGCTAATGCTCTAATGTTTCTGGCCTCTTCTGGCTGTTATGACTGCCATCTTTCTTTATGCCCACCCCAGCGATGCTGAAATTCGCTTTTTATTGACGCCAGTCACTAAACATTTTCTGAAACTACCAAGGCCACCTTCGGGGCCCTTGCCTCGCCTTTCTCCGACTTTTCCTCAATCCGTCTCAATCCTAAACATTCCCTCTCTGTCGGGAGGAAAGGGTGACTGTATATAAATGAGAATTGGAAGTGGAGGGTGTTCAGGGTTGCAGATGTCATTTCACACAGTGATATATTGCTCGGCTCGGGGTCCCATCGGAGAGTCCGAATGAGAGACCTCATCCTGCATACGCACACTGTTTACCTAGTGAAATACATGTGCTAACTCAACACCGAACACAATCTGCAATGCATGACACGGTAGCGTGCGCGAAAGCGAGAGAACGGGGGACCTTTACGACACGACGTCCGGCCCCTCAAAGGTTGGAGGGCTGAGGTAAATATTGGTGGACATGGACATCCATAAACAAAGACACATTTCCCACTGGCTGGATAGAAGCCCGAGGCCCTATTTTTACATCAAGTCAGTTCACTCCAATCGGTCAGAGATTTCTCCACACATTTTTCTTCTACAAGTGGTCTTCCTCTTACACGAGCCTTCAACTTCCTCTTCCCCTAAGCCCCTCTTATCCGTCTTCCTTCTCTTGAAGGGTCTCTTAGAAACGCCAGGTTTTAGTTGTTGAGGTGCGGGCAAAATGACGTTTGCCGAGCAGATTATGCAGTTGGTAATTTGCGCAATAATTACCGGGTGCTGTTGTCCCGGTGGCGGGGTGTGTCTAATAGTTCGCGGGCCGCTCTCACCTCGTTAGGTCTCCTACCCCGTTCGCCGGTCCTCGTCTGTGATGAGCAGGGCTCAGGTGTGCTGGTTTACCTCCCCATTGAGCACGTTAAGCCTTAATTACAGGGTAGAGCAGGGGAGGAAAGAGGGGGGCGGAATATTAACTGACTTCCTGTCAGTGACGGGCAGATGGGTTCTGTGGGGAACTGTGGGATTTGGATGCGTCAGCCACACGGACAGACTGAAAAACAGATAAACAGAGAGACAGGGAGGTCGTGGGAGGGTGAGGAACAAAACACTAATGATCATTACTCTGAGGGGAATTATCTAGAAACAAGGTGAATCCAGCTGTCGGTTTGATCACGCTTTTGTGCGTGGACGTCCTGGACTGGTTGTATCTTGTGCCGGATTGATCGTCTAACGTGGAGTTTTCCCTCTCTTGCAGGTTCTTTTTGAAATTCTTCCTCAAGTGTAATCAGAACTGCCTGAAGAATGCAGGAAACCCACGGGACATGCGCAGATTCCAGGTAATGTTTTCTTTTTTTCACACACACACACACATTCTAATGTGAAAAACAGGCCACTCGCCAGGGTAGCTGTATGGTGTTTTACTTTGTGGATATTTTTAAACGGGCTGCCTTGACCCGGTCGAAGGCCAAATCTGTCTCCTCCAGAGATGCTTCGATTCTGCAATTCTGCTCAAGCACATTCCTGATGTTACACACACACACACAAATAAACCCTCAAGATCTATCGTTCTATCCATTGATCCTCTGTACATTATATATAAAGCTCCCATACAGGGCTATACACTCCACAAATGTATATATCTACACCACTTTCATTCATGTATACACCTCTGTATATACACTCTTAGAAAAAAAGGGTTCTATATATGAAGCATAGGGTTCTTAACTCAACTCCAAAGAACCTTTTATGCTAAAAAAAGGTTCTATAATGACAAGAAAGAACCCTTTTGGCACATATAAATGAATTATTCATTCATATATTACATTATTCTGCAACATTTTGTAGTTGCAATTCAATTATTGTTTATTAAACTGTTGTAGTAACTTAATATCACATTTTAATATTTTTGGATCTTCGTGTGATATTGATTGACTACATACAATTATATAAATATATACATTTTTCTAACCCCCTTATCTTGAATTTTGTGATCATTCACATGCATTCATAAATACATTTTAGGGTCTTGATGTTTGTCAATAATATGAAATATGTAATCCGGAAAGGACAAAACAAATGATAATGAATGAACCCAAAAGGTTCTATATAGAACCTAAATGGTTCTTATTATTGAACCCTTAAAAAGGCTTCTGTTTAGAACGTTTAGGGGTTCCAAATAGGTAACGCCGATAGAACCTTTTAAGATTCTATATAGAACCTTTTCTTCTAAGAGTGTAGGTGGTACCATCCAATCACAGAGACATTATTAGATACAGTACACAGAAAGGCCGCAGCCTTGGACTTCATTACGTGTATGTGTGTGTGTGTGACAGCTCTGCTTAACCCAGTGCTGCCAGGATGTGTGTTTATATACTTGTGGTTATATAGATGTATTGTTGAGCAGGCAGCAGTGGTGCAGCCGCTTGCACAACTTTCATTTTTCATGCTTTGGAACGTCAAGTGTCTTCACTGATATTGATCCATGCGTCCAGAGCAGAAGGTCAGAGCCGGCGTGAGAGGAAGTGTCCTTTCTGTCTGCACTGCGAGTAAAAGAAACATCCGTCACTGTGGATGTGCCTCCGCACAATAAAGTCACTGGACCTCTCTTTCTCTCGCTGTAACAGCATGTCTGGGTTTTCAACCTATTTACACTTCCTCTGCCTCAGCACCTGGTGGAGGTGTGTGTGTGTGTGTGGGTGTGGGTGTGTGTGTGGAGAGCCATTCTAATGCTATCCTCAAAGAGCACTCGTTTCTGTTCATTCATCACACTCTCTTCCCCATCAGTGGAATCTGTTCATATCTCTTCAAAACTTCCTTTAAGGAAACATCACCCTTCACAACCTAATCATTCACTTCTCAAATCCACATTCTGGTGTTTATATTCATTTATACAGATAATCAACAGACAATTCCAACCAAAAGCAGACTGTGAGATAAATGACCCAAACCTGTGATGCCTGTCAGTCTGTGAGTGGAGTCCATTAGCAAGACACCTCTCCTCCAGCGCTAACCCTTAAACTCTGCTCTGCTAAGCTAAATGCCACCTCCAGAATAAATTTCACTCATGGTCCTTTCTCCATGATCTCATGGCAAGGTCATGCTTTTGGGGTACTGTCTTCCCCCATTTGCCATTCCATTTTCCTTCTCTTTTTTTTTTCCTGTATTGCACTCAGCCAGAAAGCAGAATAATATTTAGAGGCCTATTCACACCATATATTTTTATAATTTTTTTTGTGGCAGGACAGACATCTAGAATTATATTTGATTATGAAAAAGGAATCTGAAACGAATGTGAAGTATCTTACAAATATTAAGCCATTAGTTGTTGTTTTTTTCTGTATTGATTATATATTTATTATTTTATTTATTTTTTATTCTGATTAGTGATTTGTTTCAGTATCCAAACACATACAAAAAGTATATTTTTTTTATTATTATTTTTTTTTAAAAAATCCAAAAAGTATTTATTATACATTTAGAATTATTATTGTACTTATTATACATTTTTATTCCAAAAAGTATATATTTTATTCCAAAAAGCATATTCAATTTATCATAATTATTGTATTGATTATATATTTATTATTTTATTTATTTTTTATTCTGCTTAGTGATTAGTTTTTTTAAATAATTTTGATGCTGAATAATAAATTTCAGTATCCAAACACATACAAAAAGTATAATTTTTTAATTATTATTTAAAAAAATTATTCCAAAAAGTATTTTTTATTATACATTTATAATTATTATTGTATTTATTATACATTTTTATTCAAAAAAGTATATATTTTATTCCAAAAAGCATATTCAATTTTATCATAATAATTGTATTGATTATATATTTATTATTTTATTTATTTTTTTATTCTGATTAGTGATTTGTTTTAAAATTATTTTGATGCTGAATAATTAATTTTAGTATCCAAACACATACAAAAAGTACATTTTTCTAATTATTATTTTTTTTTTTTTAAATGTTTGATTCCAAAAAGTATTTTTTATTATACATTTATAATTATTATTGTATTTATTATACATAACTTTTGGGGGCCGATTTTATTTATTGTTTTGATGCCTAATAATTCATTATATCCAAACATTTGTCATAAATTGTGAACATTTTAAGGCATGTTATTCGTTGTGAACAGGCCTCGAGTATCATCCTCATTGTGACTCTTGACTGTGGACGTGACAGAGGGAATATTCCAGATTGTAACTGCTCCACTTCCACCTCAGACCCCCCACAACAGCGCAGCCCACCCCTCTAACCCCTTCCCTCATTCAGATGCTAAACGACCCTAATTCTCTCAATGCAACTGTATGGGCAGCCCTCTTTAGTAAACAGATCAACAAAAACAAAGAAAACCCCCTCATCTGCTACCAGAGGGGCTCTTCTCAAAGTCTATTTTTCTTTTCGTTTGAGGGTCTGCCACCCTTCTCCATCACGGCCCTTACTCAAGCTGTGACTAATAAGATAAAACAGCTAATCAATAAATCTATAGATCAATGTAATAGGGTGAGCTAGCGATCTGTGGGCCGTTTGAGTGGCCGCTAATGGATGATGGAGCAGATGAGAGACTCTCCACTTCTTTCTGTTCACCTTAAGTGGCAGATTAAACACTAATTGTAGCTTTTTGTTAAAAAAAAAAAAGCAAGAGCGTTTCAAAATGGAGGCCTCTCTTTGATTGACAAGGGCTTGGCTGGTTCTTCCCAGACAAGCCTCTCGTCCTTTATCTGACATGCACACTCTTGTAACCGCCCAAGTGTCTCCCTTAAATGGGAAAAAAGAAGCTCTCCTCCTTACAAAGGTTAATTATATTCTTCAAACGAGAAATTAAATGTGCTTTATATAGAGTCGATTCCTTCATTGGGAGAAAGAAATACGAGACCTATTGCAGCCAAGGACTAGAATAAGACAATATTAAACATTTTTCACCTTCCTTAAGCGGATATGACACCCATAAATCGTGTAATCCACAAAACGTTTCAGAAAGGGTCTTGATAAATTTTGAATGCAACATTTGTTTGGAACTTTCTAAGCAGAATTGATCCATAGCTAACAGTAGCCTGTTCGGATTCAGGCTGGGTCATTAACAGTCAGACGGTGTTCGAGCTTACACGAAGCATATTGAACCGCGCAAGTCATCTTTAGTTGCTTAAGGTGTGAAAACAGACTCTCTTTTCAGAATGTAGTGATAACTTATTGTTTTAATAATGTAAAGCCCACAGGGAGTTGTTCCACCAAACCCAGTAAGACTGCAAAAACGAGCAACTTTTCCCTTGTTTCACTCCCTCCTGCTTGGCTTGGAGAATAAACAATGGGCACAGGTTCAAGCACCAGCGAGGCAAATGTGTTTGCGGTAATTTTTTTCCAAGGTGTGGAGCGATCGCACGGTTGTCAGCGTTCAAAACAAAGCCTTGCTGCTGGTATACGAAGGAGAGAAGTCAAACAAACAAAGCCGTGTGTGTGGCGCGTGTGTGTCCGTGTCCAAAGGACCCTACTGATCAGACGCTAACTGTACTGAGATCTGCTCTCATGTTGAGTCGACACCACAGGCCAAAAAGGCTTTTTCTGTTCATTTTCTCGCAAATAAGACCCACAACAATGAGCAAGCTGAATAAAAGAGCTGTGGTTTCGGATAGAGACCCCTCAGAAGTGTCCTTCTTGTTTCTCTGGCCTTTAAGAATAGAAAGGCCTCTGGTCAAAAACAAGCCTGCTATTTTATGGATGCCAAATGATTCATTTAGTTGAATGAAGTCGATTCTAAGTTTAAGTTTTATATTGAGTTCGTATTTTTGGCAAGAAATGTGAATATTGATTTCTACAAACTTTATCATACCAAACTCCATATTATATAGCTATGAATTTTGTAATTTAGGACGTTTATTTATATATTTGATTTGCTTACTTGCTTGATTGATTAAGTTGTCTTTTCAAGTTTAAGCATGGAATAAAGCAATATTATTATTCCATTATTTGGAACGATGTTATTTGTTAGTTTATAATATCTAATATGTGACCCTGGACCACAATAGCAGTCTTATGTGTCCATTTTTTAAAATTGATATTTATACATCACCCGAAAGCTGAATAAATAAGCTTTCCATTGGTGTATGGAGTGTTAGTTGTATCTCGGGCAAATATTGTCCTATCCTATTTAAAATCTGGAACCTGAGGGTGCAAAAAAAAAAAAAAAAAAATTGAAATATTGAGAAAATCGCCTTCAAAGGTTTCCATTTCTGTTGGCGAATATGCTGCATACACTTACAAAAATGTAATTTAGCTATATTTAAGGTAGGAAATTTACTAAATATCTTTATGGATCATGATCTTTACTTGATTTCCTAATGATTTTTGGCATGAAAGAAAAATCGATAATTTTGACCCATACAGTGTTTGGTTGGCTATTGCCACAAATATACCCGTGCAACTTAAGACTGGTTTGTGGTCCAGGGTCACATATATTCAATAATATTTGGAATTTATACATTTTTAAAGGCCTATTCATACCAATGTGAAGCAATGCATGTCTATGAACTTCTTCACACAGGCCCAATGTAGAGATTGAACATGCCATCAAACAAGTCTTTACGTTTTCTCCACAGGTCGTTGTATCGACAACGGTTAATGTGGACGGTCACGTGTTGGCCGTGTCGGACAACATGTTCGTCCACAACAACTCAAAACACGGCAGAAGAGCTCGCCGTCTAGATCCCTCAGAAGGTACGGCCACTCCTTATCTGGAGAATGGTAGGCACATTTCCCATAACACTATTATTTGCAGAGCTTCTCTCACTTTCTCTTTCTGTTTTCCTGCTTTCCCCTTTTCTCATTTTATAGCCCACATTCTTTTAGTCATCTGTTCTCGCTCATTCACGAAACATGGTAGTGAAGCTTTAGAGGAAACATGGCTAGTGCATCTTTTAGAGAATATTCATGCTTTCTCTGTTTCCTCAGAACTTTTTATTTGAGATTTTATAGTGTTTCTACCTGCTTGATTCATCACTAATTTTATTGTTAATATTATTGCTGATGTTATTGTACTCATTTAAAAAAAGAAATACAGTTTTTGCCATTTATATGAATGATTTTGGGCCACTTTTTTCAATTTTTTTTTTTTTTTTTTGTAATTCTCAAAATCGTGTGATGGCTTAAGTATTTTCTATCACAATTTTAGCACAGACAGGAAATCCGTGCACGCAAAATATATAATGAACATGTTCAATATTTTCCGTGTACTTTCAGCGACCAATACGCATCGCTAGTACGTTTAATACATTTTGCCATGAAAATTCCTCTAAATTCAGTGCAGAAAATGAACTGATTACATACAGACTTGCTTTTAATTAGCACTGCACTCTCTCTCTCTCTCTCCCTCTCTCTCTCTATATATAAGTAAGTCCTTGGATGGGTAAAATTCAGATTTTGCTGCTTTGTTAGACTGAGCTGGTTTTGATCACTCTACTTTAGTACTCAAATCTCTGGGCTAAGCATTAAAACAGAACATAATCTTTGCTCATTAAAAAACATAACATTAGTATTTTCTTTGTCTTAATCAGTCCTTAATTACCATATCAACCAAGGCTCCAGTAATATTTAATGATGCAAGAAAAATAGCATCAAATCCCGACTCGTGTGAGAAAAAACCCCAGCAAAAATATTTGTTTTCTATTTCTCGGCTTCTCGCATTAACGCCGGTGAAAAGCAGTACAGAAGTAGCGTAATTGAACGTTTGTGCCCTGAGCGCTCGAGTGTTTGGTATTCTGACGTATTGTTTGTCTCTCTGCTGTAGTCGCTTGATAGTAGGTGTGTTTTCCTTAGCAACCGCCTTTAATTAGGAGAGCAATTAAGAAGGTTGAGGCCTCTCCCCTCGTCTGCCCGAGTCCCGTGAGACCGAGGGAGAGAAAGACAGAAAAAAACACGGCCCAACCCAAACACTGCCGAGGCTATCCTTCTTCAAAGAGTCCTTCTTATTGTAAATCTTCCATTACTGCGTTTACAACCACCATGTAGTTCATCTGCGGACGGATTTCAGTGGTTTTATTGTTAGAAGAGGATGTGCATGGACAAATTATGTTTCAGATCGCTCATAATTTTTATGGTCGCCATCAAAAAGTTTCTTTCGTACCCATTATTAGGCCTCGCGTATGATAGTTACGGTCGAATTTAAACGAATCCATTCCCTCTCGCGGTGAATTCTGACAGCACTGTAACAAGTGGTGGCGATATTCCTGACAACTCTTTTAAATTTCCGACTGTTTTAAAAGCTCGCCTCCTCCTTAAACACCCACCGGCCTCGCAGACGCGTTCTCTCACCACTTAGTTACCTGCTGTTTCACCCGGCCCTGATGGCAAATTTGGGCCGTAGTGAATATTACAGCTACCTATCTAATATCTGGCCCTTTAAGGGCGACCGGGGGGCCGTTAAAACAGAAAGAAAGAGTTTCCGAGCATCCGAACTTGGCGTTTAATCACTTCTTTAAACTCCAGAGAATGTTTAAGACTTATCATTTGGCCGAGAAGGAAACGAGAGAAAGGTTCGACCTGTCGTCTCTTTCCATTCTGGTTTAGGAGAGCTTCTTGCACACATGTACAGGATATATCGTCGTAAAATATAACTCCGTCCATATTTACGGTCAAGTCCAGGTCTGCGGCGCAGATACAGGGTGGTTTAGATTAGAAACACATTCTTGAAAGTGATAAATGCAAGCCGAGAGAGCACGAAAGCAGCCACGGGGAGGTCCTACCGATCCTCCTGTCCTATCACACTTTTATCTGATCATCTAATTCAGGCGAATTTTCCCGGACAGTGAATTTACTCTGCCTTCTGATCTTCAACTTAAAGTAATTCCCTTCACATAGCCCAGCGGACCCTCTCCGAGCACATGAGCCCCTTTCATTATTTACAGCTGGAGAAAGAAACCTGGGGGAGGAGAAAGAGGCGAGCGCACACTATATAGGAGGGTTTCTTTTGCATTAGCGCCATTTAGATACGCCACGCAGAAACATATGTACAAATTCACACAGGCGCGAACACGCACTCGGATCCAAACGGCCCCATCTGCACATAGCCAGACACAACATACACAATCGAACCCCCCCCCCTCGCCCTCTCGGGTCCAAATGCACACATTCCCCGATTTGAAAACCGCTTAGTGTTAATTCCGCGAAAGGAAAGACGTATAGTGATGCACAAGACCGAAAAGAGAAGGAAGACATTTAGAGCAAGGAAAAGAAAGTCTCTCTTGCGGTGCACGCACACCCCCTCCGGTCTGGGCCTACAGCTCCGGGTTGATTTGCATACCAAGTGGCGGTAATGTTGTTAGGTTTATGCAATAAAGACGAGCGGTCGGCGTCTGTGAGGCCGTAGCCAGTTAGAGAGGACAGATGGGCCGACGTGAGGTAAGAGCTCTAATCCCATCAGCGCCGGGATCAGCCTGCCATCTGGACATCCCCTGCACAATTACAAGACATTTTACGCGCTGGAACAAAGGAAGGTTGCAGCAGGCAGGATGGGACCTGTTAGAGTGCCTCAATATTGGGGAGCGCAGCGAAGAAGGTGACAAAACACGCCGGCCGCCATGTTGCCATGGAAGACGACTCAAGTCCGATTAAAGCTTCACACCAAGACGCGGTGGTGTTCTGTAAACAATACACACGGGAAAACGCGCACACACACACAGTCTTGCTTGTTGACCGTCCACTTCAGCCAAAGGAAGCCTGATGAAACAAAGCCAGCGATTTCTCTGAGCGTAAAGAACTAACACAACATGATTCGATAAACACGGACATGCATGCAGATTCCTTTTTGCAAGACTATTATAATAATTTAGCATTCGTTTTTTCAGTCTCTATAACAAACCGGCTACTATTATTATTTTGTATTAGTAAAATGTTGCATGTGAGTAGCATGCAATTATCATATTGTAATAATAATAAGAAAAAATTATAATAATTGTGTAAAAAAAAAAAATTGTGTAAAAAAAAAAAATTGTGTAAAAAAATAGATAAAAATATCTATATAATATTTTAAAAGCATGATAATATTTGTTGTAACCCCCCCAAATAAATACTACAGATGTTGGCAAATATATATTAGGCGATTCATATTTTCCATGCATACAGAAAATGAATATGTCAGTATGCAATTCCGAACATAACCTGAGCCACATCCCCTGCTAAATTGTCCTCCCTTGTTAAAACACGTTCCTGCCCGTCACTTCCTAGTGGAGTGTTGAACTTGGCCTCTCCGGGCCGCCATAGACCATGTCTGCTTTCTCCAATTTCCATCATCCGCTTGAGTGCATTTCGCACGTATATCATTAGCTGACGAACACAGGCTGTGTAATTCACTCCTTTATGCTTCCCATTCAACACATGTTCCCTCTCTATATTCAAGCAGAATGTATGCAAATGCTCGGCGGCGGAGAGGGGAGAGGGGAGAGGTCTGGCAGCCCTTTCTCTAGGACGGCGGGGGGAGCGTTGCGAATTCCGAGGCAATGCTTGGTGATCTCAGGCCACAGCTGCCAGACTGCCCCTCTCGTGGGCCCGTTCTCTCCTCGCGCACGCGCGCACACACTCACGTGCACCAGCCCCTTCCTTCTGCTCACCTACACAAAGTAAATTTGTTTACTGTAATTTTTGGTGAATGATTTGCTATAATTGGTTGCGCTGATGAAGGTCAGTCCCTATGAGGAGTCGTGTCTGTCTTTGGAGACTTGATCCTCTTTCAAACGCTCTGCCTGCAATTAAGAAAAGCAAATGTCATTCCCAAGCCTCAGAAATGAAAATTTGTATGAACTTATTAGCATGAAGTCAACAGCTCTAGTTAAGGGCAAGCTCCCAGTGTGTGTGTATGTGAGAGAGAGAGAGAGCGAGCTCAGGGCTTCTGGTGCTCTGGGAGCTGAGAGGAATGAGTAAATATAACCTCCACTAGTCCAACATTAAGGCAAACAAAGAGAGCTGCCTTGTCTGGGCTGTTCTACACAACAATACCTAATGTTGATTAACTAGGGCTGCTAGAACAGCAGAGAGACAGGGGAGAGAAACACCTGCACACACAAGGGCTTAACCCCACAGGTTTACCTCATGTAACGGTCATAAATATACCATTTATTGCATTATTGGTGGAGCTTAATACGTACTTGAACAAACCCCTAACCTTACGTCTTCAATTTCGACACGCAACATGTTATTCACCTTGGGAAGGATTATACGGGAAGTTAGACTATATATACAGTATACACACAAAATTGGTGGGAATATGATCATATTATAATAATGTATGAACTATGTATCAACAGCCAATCCCTATTGTCAGTTATTCAACCATTTCTATTATAATATTATTCAATTCTGATTAAATCATTTCAAAATGTTAATTTCAAAAAAGTTAACAGTGATTTGGCATTTAAATCATTAAAATAAATAAATAATGTGAGAGCAGCATTAGTATTGGCGTATTGAATAGTTTTTGGGTTATAAAATGATGTCAGAGTCTGCGGGCTGATGAAAATGATGTCAGACACTTTTAATGGAGGGGAGAGATTTTAAGCTGAGAGGGTTTCCAACCATCTTCTGTGCATTATTAATAACCTCTCCGAGACCTTAAAATCTAAAAGCACAATGCCATTGTTTTTCCCTGGAAAAGAATCGAAACGAGTGAGGCCTGGAAAGCCGTAAAACAAAATGAAAACAGCTCAAGGTGAAGGGCTACTGTTGCGGTTGAATTGTTGGCCAGTATGAGCAGTGTGTTGTCATATTCGCGGGAGTTCGTATTCAAAAGGTGCTTTGGAGGGGGTGGCAGAACAGAGTCAACAGAGTGAAGAGGAAAAGCTGATCAAAGCACACAGCGCTAAGATGTTAACGGGGGGGTCGAGTCGCCCTAGGCCTCCGACCGCTTACAACCGTGGTGGTGTTGACTCCGCAGGGGTGGAGGGGGGGCAGGCCGTACAATAATGTATGCTAACTTCTCGACAAAGGCGGGGTCAGGCCCACAATCTCGTTCTCTCATTTAAGAACACGTGTACTTCACCATTAGCATGGTAGCTTACCGATTTGAACCTTAAACTCACAAATCGCCCCTAAAATCTGATTTTAAAGACCCCAAAAGGCAAAAAGTACTCATTACCAAAAGATAAGAGACACTGGGAGATAAAGGGTTGGGAGAGAGGAGAAAGTTGGAAGTTTTTAAACCAAAGGCAAGGTTTGCAGATAAAAAGCCTCGACCCAATTAGCGGGCGCATGAAAAATCGAAGTCGCGCTTTTTTTGCCGTCCCGCCGCCCGTGCTTTGCTCCACGACCTTTTGATTGACTGATCTCAGATCTGTGAAAGCCGGACAGATAAATCGACGGTCCTAGCCGTGCACGCGGTGCTTAATCATCAGCAACGGCAACGTATCTGTACGGCGGTTTATCTGGCAAACGGACACTGGCCGCATCAGTCGATGTTTTCTTTGTGTTAGCCAACAGTTTAATGGCTGACTTCCACACAGAAGAGTTGATGTACAATGCAGGCCTTTTGTTTTCACGTGGCCCAAATCATTCATGCTTCGTTTATTTTAGGGTTTCATTATCCTCAGCGTGAGAATGATCTGCATGTGTCCACACAAAAACAGGATCCTGAGTTGTGCTTTTTTGGTTCTGTTATAAGCAGCTACCCCGTGCATAAAGGCCATTAGCCCGAGTGAAGGCTGGACCACTGGAGGAGCTACGGTCATCATCATCGGCGATAACTTCTTCGATGGACTACAGGTCGTGTTTGGCACCATGCTAGTATGGAGTGAGGTGAGAGTTTGGCATAAAACCAGATAATTCATTTTATCGTGCACGAGATATTTGCCCAGCCGTGTATTCCTGTAACAGCCTTCTAATGAACTTCATTAGATTCTATAAAAAGTGATTACGTGAAAACTGTGATTATACACAGTTTATGAAGCCCCGCTTCTACCGGTTTAATGCAATTATGCTGCCGTCCGTTTATTGTCTCTGTACATTTACTTTTTGTTCATTTCACGCCACATAAACATATAAATAAGAGTGAACTAAAGGGATGCCGAAGCTGCGTCGTAATTAGTTTGGCGCTAATAAAGATTTCAGGTTAGTGTGTTCCTTTATGAGTTGATAAAGCTGTCTGGCACATATTTGTCGGTCGGAGCCTCAACGAGCCGATGAGCGTTTGTTTATTCGATTTTATTTTATTATTTTTCTTCTCCTAGTTTAATCACAAGAGCAGATAAGGAGTTAGATAAACAAACTGCATGCTAAACAGCCTCACAATAAGTCCACAGAGGCCTCCGCCGCGTTCCTTGCCGAACCGTGAGGTCTTGCAAAACAATTGAACAATTAGGGGTGAAATATCTCAGAGGGGGAAAAACGAGCGAGGGAAAACAGTGAAGGAAAGACATATGGAGGTGATTTTAACAGGACTCCTGCCCCTTGGCCTTTCTTGGGCTCAGTGCAATCCAAGGACTATTTGCTGACGTTACCTCTAAAGCGAGGACAAATAACCACTCAGGCGTTCAAATCTATGCAACAATTAGCATGGTCCTAACCGAGCTTGCCCACTGTCTTTCTGAGCACTATAAGATCTTTCTGCTCAATCAACACGAAACTTATGGGCCAGATTTACTTATGAAGGTTTAGTTTCTGACAAATAGTTGGAGCTCATTGGTTTAATGTTTTCAGTCGCAGTTTCTCAAAACTATACAATTGGTGTAGTTTCCATGGTCCTAACCAAGGTTACCCATTCTCTCTCAAAGCTCATTACGCCCCATGCCATCCGAGTGCAGACCCCTCCAAGACACATCCCGGGCGTCGTAGAAGTCACCCTGTCCTACAAGTCAAAGCAGTTCTGCAAAGGTGCGCCGGGACGATTCGTGTATACAGGTGAGTTGCAGTCATATCAGTTGCTTTTTGTTTGGGTTCCCTCCATTCTCTCAAGTCTTTGGCTTCATGCTTAAGTGCTGGACCCCAACCGGTGTGAGATGCATGCCTCTGTAACCCTATATCATAACGCAGACCAATGGAGTTGGGGGAGGCTGCCAACTCCAGTTAATCTCAAATCCGGACAACACATCTCTGACCCTTTCTCCTGCACCCTTTGCACAAAAACACTAGTGTTTCTTGGTGGCCAGGTTACTCATGTGTGGATACGTAGCTCACAAGGTTGTGCTTTGTGTGTCTGGGTGGATTGTGTTTTTACGTGGTCTTAGATGAGCGTAATCTCTCCCTCGGTACAGCTGATACTGGGGGTTACACGGTCACACCGTGTTTGACCTGGAAGCAGTGTGTCAGATACCAAATTGAGTAGGACAATGAGATAATCATCAGGAATTACTCTCACACTCAGGAATGTCAAGGAGAGAGAGAGAGAAAATGACACAGAGAGAGAGAGAGGTGAGGATGGGGCCCCGGTCCCCCCAGGCAGCTGTTCCCCATCTCAACCCCACCGAGGCTGCGGGCCGATTCTCCCTCCCACATTTAACCCTCTCAGCAGGGGCAGGGCAGAGGCCAACGAGCCCCTGCGATAATGAAACCCGAGAACACAGGGCCGGCTAATACCAGACCTGCTCAGACATTAATGTCTGCCATCGTTAAAGCCGCAGAGACTCGGGAACTAAACATGTGCTAATGCTAATAAGCACAAAACAGGGAGTCAGTGTCAAATTCAGCACACATTACAATGTTATGACGAACATTTGTGTCATCAACCCTAACAAAAAATGACCGTGGTTAACCTCGTTTACGACCAAAGTTTCTGTGTCCGAAACCAAAACTGCTGTTTTGCTGCCCAGTCAGTCTGAACCTACAGGGTTGTGGGTTATTCGCCAACTATTTTTCTTCTTTTGCATCTTTTCTTCTTTTGATTTAGGATCTGTGATTCAGATTTGATATTTTAATTTCTTTTTATCAGAATCTTTGACTTGGATGTGAGAAAATTTCACATTTTCTGAATTTTCAACATTTCTGAATCAAAAGATACTGAAAGTTACAGTATACATTTACTATGATCTATCTATCTATCTATCTATCTATCTATCTATCTATCTATCTATCTATCTATCTATCTATCGAGTGCTATCATCCATCCATCCCTATCTATCTATCTATCTATCTATCTATCTATCTATCTATCTATCTATCTATCTATCTATCTATCTATCTATCTATCGAGTGCTATCATCCATCCATCCATCCATCCCTATCTATCTATCTATCTATCTATCTATCTATCTATCTATCTATCGAGTGCTATCATCCATCCATCCATCCCTATCTATCTATCTATCTATCTATCTATCGAGTGCTATCATCCATCCATCCATCCATCCATCCATCCCTATCTATCTATCTATCTATCTATCTATCTATCTATCTATCTATCTATCTATCTATCTATCTATCTATCTATCTATCTATCTATCGAGTGCTATCATCCATCCATCCATCCCTATCTATCTATCTATCTATCTATCTATCTATCTATCTATCTATCTATCTATCTATCTATCTATCTATCTATCTATCTATCTATCTATCTATCGAGTGCTAAAAATACAGTTTATATATACAGTATATATGTGTTTATACTGTATAATTATATTGCCTAAGTTTACTGGAGGCCTTTATAGAAGACAATCCTGCATCTGTCACCCCCACCTTCCCCTGTCTTCATGAAATGTTTGTTTGTTTTCCCTCACTGATCCTTGTTCCTGCTCATCAGTGAGGAGATATAATTACTGGCGGAGATTTTGAGGACTTAGTTAATTATCCCCTCGAATTAAAGAAGAGAAGTCACAGACTACACGCCCCGTCCCTCTCATCTTCTGAACTCCAATCCCCATAATGCCTCACCTCCCTCTCTGAGGTCACAAATGACAGGCAAATCAGAACACACACACACCACACACCACACACACGCTAGACTGGATTCATGTCATGCTGTTATAAGGCTTTATCAAACTGGTTGACATTTTAAGTCAATTAAATTCCCATTCAAAGCTTATTTATTAATGAATGTTATTAAAAGCCTATATCAAAAACAGTACTTGTAAGTATTGTAATTATGATTATTTTCTTTTAGCAAAAGGTCAGAGCTGTATTTTGCTTGTTTTGTTCTTTCTATATTTCAATTTTTTTCTCTCTTCTCCTATTTTCAATTCTTAAACTCTTGTAAGTGATATTGATCTAAACAAATTGCTCGACTTTATGCCTGTAATTAGTTCATAAACCGCCGCTTTGAACTGGAAATGCTAAAAGCCAGTTTTACCTCTCTCTCTCTCTCTGTTTGTTTGTGTGTATTTGCCAAATTGTGTAAGTGTCGGATATTGTACAAGATAATTTTTAAATAGTTATATACTGTGTTTTTGTTGGCCGTTACAACATTTCATGCTGACCACCCTCTTTTTTCGGAGTCAGACACACCCTCGCTCTCATCTGATACATCACGGCCAATTAAATACTGTGCCGTGACCTCCTTTTGCAGGGGCGTATACGCTCAGATATGGGTCTGATCATTACTAGCATACAGCAACCATCTGTTGAGGGATGTATGCTGTGATTTACCATTTACTGTGCGTTAAATGCATATGTATATTATTATATATTATCGTGAAGATTTAAGCACAATTATGACTTTTTGTTTTTATTATTTATGGAGAAAAGATTCCTTAACTGGAAAAAAAATGTTGCAAATCATAATGGTCCTAAATAAAGCCTTTAAACTAAATCTAAGTTCTTGCGATTTTGGGGTGATATGTTCTTTGCCCTGTGAATAGTGTCAGTGCTGAAGGTGTTGTAAAAGGTCCTTGGTGTTCGCTCAGATGTGGCGGCATACGCCTGTCAGAGTGCAGTGCTACTTTAAGAGTCGATAATTCTCCTCCATCATGGCCAACACAAGCCGCCTGTCTCAGAGGTCAATGCTCTTTAAACAAATTACTCTGCTCAGACTCTGAAAGCGGCTCCTAATGTCCTCCGGTACTCTCCAACGCCTCTTGCTTTGACACAGCTAAACAGCAGTGAAATTAAACACGCCGCAGAGATCCACCAAGACCAGGGGACATTAAAGACGGCCTGTGATGGGATGTCGGCATCCCGTAAGGTTACGCAAACACGCAAGAGGGTCTCCGTAGTTTATGAGCTGCCAGAACTGGGCCTAAAACAATGTGTTATTCAATAGCTGTCCATTAACACTCTGATCTACCGCGTGTTTGTGTTTGTGTTAGTTGGGCTATTTACAGCTCTAGGCTCTTAGCGTCTTCATTTAAAAGCAAACACTGTAGTGGTTTATTGAGTCTGAATCCTTTGTATCTTTCAAAGAACTGCGTGTTCTGGTAGTTTTTTTCATCTTTAACCTTGTATGTTTGTACGATCGTGTCTTTTGTTAACACAAGGCCACCGCTGCGCCATCTGATACCTGTATTGGTTATCCATTGATCAGGTCTGGCATGGAACAGCTTGTCAGAAGGCTCCATAAAAAACGAGAGAGAGAAAAAAATCAAAGCAGGACGGCTGTTTGTCCCTTTGCCAATAGCTCTCAACCCACGAATGCTCTCTTTAGCTGATCTAGCTATTTTAAAAAGTCCATCCAGATGTTCCCTTTAAATTCCTCATGAAATGGCTTGATGAGTGTATTTTTTTTTATTTTTCTTGATTTATTTCCAATTGAAATTTAATTTGATATCTGTTATAAACGATTTTATTTATTTATTTGTTTATTTAAAATAAAAAAATAAATGCATAAAATATAATATTTTAGAATAATATTATTCATATCTTATAATCTATAATAATAGATTATATCTATAATATAATCTGATATATACTATCATATGTTGCCTTAAAATTTTAAGTTCATTGAAATGGAAAAATTGAGTTAATACAATGAAGGAGATTAATTTAATCATCATAAACCCAAAATATTATGTTATCTGAACTACATAAATTATTTAAGTTGATCTGACAAAAGAAAAAAAATACAAAAAAAATACAGTGATAAGTCAGTATAATTACAAATCAAATTCGAAATATGTTAAATTAAATATATATACAATTCTCTATGTAAATGTAGTTATTTAACAAAAATATTGTATTTGATTATTTTTACTTGACAGTACAGTTTTGATTTTTGCTTTAAGCTGCTATCAGAAAACCTTTTGTGGGGGAAAAAAGTGGAGACTTGATCTCAAAAGTACCTTAAAAGATCAGCAGGAACATCCCTATAAACAAGTTGGAATGACAGATTGTCATGGGAATACATTCCGTCCATATCTATGACCCAAATTTGGAGGCAGCAATGATCTCCTTTGGCTCCTAACAAGGGGAAAGTGAGAGATATGAATTAAGATATATATGTATGTGAGCGCTCCAGCTCTAATAGACACTTTAAAGGAGGCAGGCCTCCAGAGCGCTTTTACAAACGATTCTCAACAATGACACCCGCCATAAATAAAGCTCAACGTCGGACTCTAATTGCATCAAAGCTATTGCTTTCTATTTAGGCACGGTCACTGGTGACCACGGCCTTAACGCTCCACCGGAGGCCGGGGAGAGAAGGAGAAAGAGGAATAGAGACGTACGACAGGAGCTATCACCCTTCAAGACTATTTGTCCTAATCAGTGACACCCATTTACCAGAATTGGCGAAAATGAACTATACTTCACACAGAAATTGTACACTTACCGGCCTTCATTTGTCACGGCACATTCGAGGGCCGGTAAACTTTTCCCTTCCTCCGATGGGATTGTAGACATGCATCAAAATGTTAAAAAATGATTTGCGAGGGAGGCCCGTCAGACATTTGTCAGAACCCGGGAACATTATTTGCTAATTTCAAAACCTGCGGCGTGACAGGGTGCTTCGTCTTTTAACCCGCCGTGACCGATCT